TCACGTGCCCCTCGAAGGTAGGAATTTGGTAACAAAGGCTCCAACCTGAGAAGAAAGGTTTGTGTATTTGATCATTTGTCTATACGATGCTTCCACCTTCGCTGTATTTGTCGCTTAGATGCTGTTGGCAGTCTTCTTAATATGATGTCTTCGGTGAAATCTTAACCCTCTGTGTCAAAAAAAAACTTACGTTGTGACCGCAAATTCAAATTGTCATATATCAACGAAAGTTCAATGGATTTTTTTAAATTTCAAACGTTTTATAAAGTAAATTTAATTTACTTTCAGTTTAAATCATCAAAGTTTATTTTAAGCGGCGGATTTCTCATTGGGAGGGCTCATTGTAAAAATATTCCTATAAAGTGGCACATTTTGATGTTAGAGATGTTTCAGAACTCACTAGACGCACATTTCTACAGAATAAACCTCGTTGACAGCAATATATGTAGGTGTAGAGCCGGTTATGATGACATCGATCACGCAGTATGGTATTGCCCGGGTAATGACGCCTCCAGAGCACGACTGTTGGATACCCTAGTGGCCCGAGGTAGGCAACCCTTCCGTGAAGTAAGAGGTGTATTCGGAACCCGTGATCTTCCCTACATGCAGGCAATCTGCGAATTCCTTTGTTTGTCTGATGTTGGAGTATGATGTGACCATCCCCTCCTTTCCAAACTTCCAGCCATTGTGACCCAGTCTTATTATCCTCCTGTATCTGTGCTACTTGCCTCTGCCCAGCCAGGATTTGGTCAACCGTCCGAGAGTAGTATCTGAAGGAGGCTTCAGAAACCAGTTTCCTACCTAGCTCCTTCCAATCGAAATTGTTACCCATTAACCTTGAGCCCGCCACGAGTAATCGGTACCCAATAACTAACCTAGAACTACTGCTGTTTAAAATGTAAATTCATACATTACTGATTTTTCGCTCCGCAAAGTGTCACACACGACTGAGCCTAGTAAATAAACGAATTAGTTAAAAAAAAGATATTCAAAACTATAGTCTTCTAAACAATGGATAGTGTAAAACAGATTTTACTAACTGATGGCGCCAAACAAAAATTAGCCGGATGCGCCCTATATTCACATTATATAACGCTATCTACATATCCTACTCATATGGATGGTTTTTGTCTTCAGCAAAGTTGTTCAGATGGACAAGACCTATCTTAAGGAAAAGATTAGTTACGAATTGACTCACCAGGCGGCGCTAGTGTGACATTAATTGGCCATTGCTTGCACTAGCTTAACATATTGACTAGATAGAAGGTTTCCGTCTTGGGTAAAGTTGTTCAGATGGACAGGACCAGGTAAAGAGTATAGTTCAGAGTTCACTCACCAGGCAGCGCTAGTTTGACGTTCATTTTTAATTGTTTACCCTAACTCAGCGTTTTTCAATCTTCCTTTTCTTCTTTTTCTTATTTAAGGTCTCAATCCATCAATGTTGAATACAAATCTCGATAACTTTTTCAAAGGGACGTATCAGCTTTTGTAAACAATGCATTTGATCGTCGATTTGGCGTAACTGGTAGCTTACCCACGCATGCTAACACTACCATCAGATAGAGGAAATTTTTCCCTACCTACTAGTGGTGTTAGTAAGCGTGTGCGAGCTACCAGTTACGACAAATCGACGATCAAATGCATTGTTTACAAAAGCTGATACGTCCCTTGTAGTAACCCCTTTGACCTGCAATTAGTCAATGACCAGCGGTCTGATCTAATGTTGGCGAGGGAAGCCATTTCGTTTTCAAAGCTCCACGTAGAAAGCGATCAAAAATTACCGCCCATCAGCCTCCGTATTGAACCTCGAGTCATCTTGAAGAAACCTGGAAATAGCGGTAATGTTCCGAAAGCCCCTCCATCGGGTTTCAAATCATTTGATTTGGATAGGGACTTTCCGCGATTTCCAGGTTCTTCCAAGGCTCTCAATGTTCCAACTCCACAGCCAGGACAACATGAAGCCATGTTGACGTTTTCTGGAATTGTGGATGGCATTTTCGAAATATTGAATGTGCATGACTCCATGAGGAACATTCCCAACAAACATTGAAAGCTGAATAAGAGCTTATTCAGGCAAAAATATGCTTTTTCAGATAAAAATAGCTTATTCAGCATTTAATCAGCTCAAATTGTTTGTTGGGTTATTGTTTTGATGATTCCAATGTTGACAATTCTTTTGAAGCAACTAGCTTTTAAATGGCCATTGCTTTCGTCGATCATCAACTTTGACGTTTAAAATTAATAACGGTTGGGAGTGTGGTAGTTTGTTGTCTCTTCCTTCCCGAAACCCTCTTGTTGCAGTTGTAAGCAACCATCAGTTATCCAGTCGAGAGAGATCAAGAGCACTTTCGCGTCACCGTAGTGCATCTCACATGGTCAATCGTCGAAAAACAGTCATTAAACGGAGATAAATCGCATCCTTGTGTATCTTTTCCTTGATCCCTTTCCTACCTATTAAAAGATTGTAGCCCGTAACCTCGAGTAAGCCGCGAGTATTCAGACCGCTCTTGAACTAACTCTAGTGTTAAGAAACATTGTAAAATGAATTTCGACTCCGTAAAGCTCTAAAAAAAAATTAAAAATAGCATCGACACGTATGTAACGCCCATAAAGGGTCACAAGTGTTACGCTTGACATTATTTGTGTGTTCCATTTTTAAATAAATTACTTCATTAAAATATGGATGCCGTCTTATTTTGCATGAAACTGTTGAAAAAAACGGGCACAATGGCATCCAGTTCTTGCACAGGTTGCATGTGTCTCATATCTCCAATAAATGGTCAGGTTCGAATCAAAATTATGTAAGTTATAAGTGCGGAAATGCTTATAAAAGCACATTTTTCCATTAAATAATTTTGGTTTTCTTTGGTGCAATTATCCTTGGCTCATAAGGAAAAAGTGCGCAAGAAACGCCAAGACGATACAACGTAAAAGCGTATTTTTATAGATTCAAATTTCGGACACTTAAACTCGAATTTCGGACACTTTTAAAAGTTGATTATCTCGGTCGAATATGATCCACATGTCTTGTAAATTTTAAATTTTTTTGACTAGTGCCCTCCACGATCATCTAACATTATTACTTTGTTTCTAACTGGATGTAATATTTAATTAAAAATGAAAGTGTCCGAAATTTGAATCGTCCGAAATTTGAATCGGAACGCTAAGCCTTTCCGCACTTTTGAGGAGTCCAGTTCTAAATGCAAAATACACACAATAATTATTATGTATTTCTCTTCGGGTAACCACGCAACCCGCCGGCCGCTTATTTTCTCTTTCTCCCACCGCAGTACAGTGAAAGGAAAACTGTAAACAGAGAGCCAAATAGCAATCGCTCTCTCTCATCAAACCGGAAAAACAATGGCATCCTCTCTCGTGTGCATTCTTACCACTGCTTGCTCATTCGCTCGCTCGCATTCTTTCATCCATCTATCGCCCATCATCGCCCGCTGCTTCGACCAGTCTCTTTCTTCTCCTACAGTCCAATAGTCGCTCTCAGTTTCGATTAATGAGCCAATTATTCTCCCGGCTCTTTCCCGCATGGTTCCCGAGGAGACGATTAGAAGGAAAATCAGCTGAGCTGAGCGAGCGTTCGGCCAGTAAGTAGTGTGGCGGGCAATTTAAGTAGTCTTGCAAGTGAATCGAAGCGGTTTAGTCTGACAAGAAACGCGGTTTAGTTTGAGCCGAACCGAAGCAGCAGCAACAGAAGAAGACACCACTCAGCGTGAGTCAATCAATGTGCAAGAAGGGGAACAGTTTTCCACCATCAATTATCGTCTTTCCGGCGGGCTACTACATTTGATGAGCTACAGCAGGAGCCATCGTCAGTCCACGTCCAACCGGGGACCAAGTAACACGGATCGTAGCGATAAAATAATCGCATCAGTGGTGCTTCGCTAAGTGTGATATGAGTGTGCAGTGAGAAATTTGGTTGTGCAGAAAGTGAGTATCCCGCTTATCAGTAGAGTGCGATAGTTTATTTTTTTTTGCATGTTTAGCCTCATATAAAGAGCGCAATTGATATTTGCACAAGCCGGTCTAACGCCCGATATGTATTTATTTTTACATATGTAGACTTGTGATAAAAGAAACAGACTGAAAGTTATCACTCAATGGTGGGCTGCCTCGTAGCTGACTAACAAATAACAAATGGGGATCACATTGCCATTAGTAACGGAGAGTCTTCCTCGGGTTAGGTTCTTTATTAGCATAGGGTGGTTTGCCCAATACAGTGAACTCGTTTCTATTATGAGATTGTTTCGGAACGTTTTAGACTTTGTTTAAAATCTATGTTCGTCATTTTCCTTTTAAACCAAATCTACCAAGTAGCGCAGCAGGACCATAATAGTGAAATTCACCCTCGCCTTCCCATCCCATACTGTACACACAAGGAAGTGTTTTTCAATTAATTAATTCCCTTCCATTTTGTATCTATTTCGCTTTCCTATAATCCATAACACAGGGCACTACGCGACACGGAGCCGGTTCAATTGAAGCAGGAAAGTTGATGCCCCGTCGGGACATCGCATTGCAGCGAACCGGGACGTCGACGGCGACAATCGCCAATTATTACGCAGACCAATCATCGTCGAGCGGAGACGAAAAATGACAGTGATCTTGTCGCTGACCGAAGCCGGTTATTGCCAATCTGCCTACAACTTCCCAGAAAGTGTGGTTTTCCTCTAGGAGACCTCAAAGAAAAAGAAATCTTCCTTTTGAAAAAAAAAAAGTTACCCAAACTGTGATATTTACGCGCCAGTTGTAATATTTACGAGGCAAAAACAAACAAAAAATATTTCCATTGTTTTTCGTTCTACTACCTAAGTGCAAAGTAAAGCAAAAACTGCGAGTGTGCAATACCATTGTTGTTGGTGCTAGAGAAGACGTTCCTGGCTGAGCAGAAAGTGCCAAACCAAAGTGTTGTTCCATTTTATCAGAAAAAAAAAGTGTGTCGTCGGAGAGTGATCGTTTGTGTCTGACTGAATGCAGAATTGTTGATCATTCTGTCTCGTGCTGAGCTACTGCTCCTGGTGGCGGCTTAGAACCTCGTAGACACGGGAGATAGAACAAGAACGCAAACAAGCGAAGCAGAACCGCATAAATAAAAGTCCGTAAAGGGTAGGACGAAGAAAAATACAGCGATAAAATGACGGGGTGAGTAGCTATATTTCTTTCCGAGTTTTGCTTAATCTTCACATTTCTTCTTCAAACCGGCGATCTTTGGACGATAGTTGTTTTGATGGAGAGTTGAGGTTGAAAGGAGAATTAACTGATCGCGCTGAATTCGACCTGTTTCTTTTCGCCAAAAGTCAAGGTCTAGTACGCAATTTAATTTTCGGGAAACCCAAAGTCGGAGATAATTGGATTCCCGGTTATTATGTAATCCTTCCTCTGGCTGCACCATCATCCGTGAGTTTATTATTGGCAGCGTCTCGGATCAGAACGTGATTTTTGTTTTCTGGAGTGTGTAGCTTGTTTTGATCTTTTTGAACGGCGGGGTTGTTTTTCTGCTTTATAATGATTAGTATGTGATTTGAACGTGACTGGAGTACACAATTGTTCAGGATGTCAACGGGCAACTAATTTACAAACTGTTATGCTGTTGTGTTTGGAATATTCAATTTAGGTACAGATTTTTGACCATAAATTGAATAGTTGGGTGAACCATACAAGAAGGGAATTGAATAATTTGTAATTCATTCTGGCAAGATAATTTATCTGATAATCTTTGAGTGTTTAATAGTGGCTTGAGCTATATTAATAAATTCATCTATTGGAAATCAACCGAGAAATAGCGGTGGGTGGACGGCCTCACGCACCGCGCTTTTCGGAGGATCATCTTTGATTGTTCTTCAAAATCCTATCATAATCAGTATTTCTCCTGGGATAATGTTCGGTGATATTACTTACTTATCTTTATTTTGGGTTAGTGAATTTGAATCTGAAATGAGATTTCTGTTAGCAACAAGACATTTCGCTCATAAGTTTTTGTATCCTTTCAAGGAAGAACATTGGTAATAATGTAGCTGAATAGGATCAAAGCAACTGATTTTTGGGTTTTTCCGGGTAAACCATAAAGCGGAATACCACAAACGTAATAGTTTTTATAAAAAAAAAAGTTCAGTTTTCGATAGTTCCTCCTTATTCAAATGAAGGAACAGGAAACCCAAAATGATATTAAAATACCTTCTTCGTGTTTTTTCAACAATTGTGCGTGCTTCAAAAAATCTAACTAGACGTATGGATTCAGGAAGGTCTATTCAACAAAATCCAAGCCTATTATTCAAATGAAGTAGCCAAAATCCATCTTGGCTGAACATGAAAACCAAATTTTAACAAAAATACGGTCTTTTGTGAATTTAAACTTGGTTTTGTGTGTGCTTAAAACAATATTCATCACGTATGGATTCATTAAGGTCCATTCTATAAAATACAAGCCTATTTTTCAAAGATAGGAGCCCAAATTTAGTTCGGCAGAACAGAAAAATCAAATTTCCATGATAATATGTACTTATGTGAATATTAGCCCAGTTCGTCCTTCACGTATGGATTCAGCAAGTTCCATTCTATAAAATTCAAGTACAAAATTTCAAACGATAGAACCGAAATCCGACCTGGCTTCAAAAACAAAATTTACTTACAAATGCCCTTTGACCATATGTTTAGTATTACTTCTGCGTGAAGTCAACGAGTTGAAGATGCTAATTTCAAATAACAGTGGTAATTTCTATGCGATAGATGAGGAGTTGAAAGTATAGGATTGATAGTTCCGTTTAGAGTACGGCAGTGTGAAAGTTGCATATAGAAGTAGAAAGCGAGCTAGACAACTTTTAGGAAGGTACAAATCAGTTTTATCATCTCTCTTTACCAAACTCCCCCTTAGGAGAGGGATGGTGAGGGGTGTCCCCCCCCCCGCCACGACTGGCAAAAAGAGATGATCACCGACCCGCTCATGTACCAACGATGTGTTTGAAACAGTTCTACCGATTTTTACCGCACTCCAGTTGTTATCTGAAGGAAGGCATCCAGTCGTAGGTTTTGAAATTGCAGCTATTGTTACCTCTACCACGGTATGTGCTCCTGTCATCGTCGACTTGACGATCTCGAGGGGACACGGGTGAGTAGGTGCTGCTACTGTACTTTTCGACCAATGACAGTATCACAAATGTCTATTCTACAAAATCCAAGCCTATTTTTCAAAGGACGGCGCCCAAATCCAACTTCCCAAGTAACATTTTAAGTTTTAAGAAATACTACAAAGCAACTATAAAACAACATTCATAAAACTCTGGTCAAGGCTATTTTGTCATTAATGCATCCACCAAAACCTAATTAAGACTAGAATATGTCTAGTTGGCCCAGCCTGGAGAAGGTTCTGAAGGGTGTATTCTCGAAGCTCTTCAAGATTGATTTACTGCAAAAGGTTGTATGACGAACGCATTGAGAACCATTTGAAAGCTACCATAAAAGCTATTTAGCAACAATAAAAACCCTTTCCGAGCCATTTCCCCTACCGCATGCTGAATCCACTAGGAAAGCATCAATCAAGATAGAAAAGGATTTATGAATCCGATCTTATCAAAATAATTAAAATAGAAACTGATGGTATCCAAATTTATTACAATAGTTCTCATTAAGTGGCCTAGTTTTAAGTGCCATTTTAAATTTTATGTGAAATTTACGTGAAAACATCGAAAAAATTAAGTGCACCCACGTAAAACGTCGATTTGACTAATTATTTAACATTGAAAAATAAAATATATGCTTCAGATCGAGCTTGGCCGAGATTTTTGTTTATTATTTTCGCATTTAAATGTTTGCTCATTGCTAAATTTACCAAAATATAGTTATATCTAAGGAAATATAGATTGAAAATCCAAGATTGTAAAAAACAAGCAAACTAATTGTAACATAGCGGTGGCATAAAAGTTGATTTTCATTGGTCATTTGTGAAAAAGTTGTTTTACTTTCAAGAATTCCTTAACAAACTAATAAGGTTTTAAAATGGCTTTTATGCAGAAAACTTGCAGGCTGAATTGTATTTATCTAAAGCCATTTTGCTTGATCCTAACCCGTTCAGATTTATGGCAGCATTTATGGAGGCAAAGTTGCCTGCAAAAAGTTAAACGTCAAAGTTTGTCTTTCGATAGTTGCGCTGTGGGATCCAGAGTTCTTCCAGGTGGTTTTCTCCCGATAGATTGGGAGCAGTTACTCAGACAGTTTGCGATACTGTTTTACAACATTTCGCATTTCGAACAGCTGAAAGCGCAATCGTTCCCGAAAAAGATCCCCTTCTTCTGGATGGTTAAAGGGCGAACACGAAATTATTGCGACACCGAAAATGTCATGCCAATTTTCTTATAATGTTTAGAATCAAACCAAAATTTTAGGGTAGTTTTATACATATATTTACTTCAAAAATCAAAAGAAAAGTTAATCGATGGAGCCTTGAGTGTAAAATTGAACGCATTTTCGCTTGATGCCCTCCTTAAAAGTCTTAACAGTGTCATCCGGTACCAGTTTCTCAGTTTTTTTTTCCATTTTCTTAACATGTCCTTCTCGTCTTTGACTGTCTTCTTGCTATTCCGAAGTTCCCGCTTCATTATTTCCCAGTACCGCTCCACCGGGCGCAGCTCCGGACAGTTTGGTGGATTCATGTCCTTTGGAACAAAATGGACAGAATTGGCCTCATACCACTCCAGGACACTTTTAGAATAGTGGCATGATGCCAAATCTGGCCAAAACAGCGGAGCTTCGTCGTGCTGCTGCAAGAACGGCAAAAGGCGCTTCTCAAGGCACTCAGATTTGTAGATCTCGCCATTTACTGTGCCCTTTGCCACGAAAGGCTCACTCCTCAGTCCGCAAGAGCAGATGGCCTGCCAAATGAGATATTTGGAGGCGAACTTCGACATTTTCTTCTTCTTAAATTTGTCGTCCACATCGAACTTGCTCTTGCCGGTGAAAAACTCCAACCCCGGAATTTGCTTAAAATCGGCTTTTATGTACGTTTCGTCGTCCATCACACAGCAGCCATATTTTGTCAGCATCTTCTCGTAGAGCTTCCGTGCCCGAGTTTTAGCCGTCGATTGTTGCCGCTCATCGCGGTTTGGGAAGTTCTGTACCTTGTATGTATGTAGTCCAGCTCTCTTCTTTGCATTCTGGACGTAGCTCTGCGATTTGCCGATCTTTTTAGCCAAATCACGGCTTGAGACGTTGGGATTTGCTTTAATCATCCGCTTCACCTTTCCCTCCGTCTTTTTGTTCTCCGGTCCCGGTTTTCTTCCAGCTCCTTTGCCGTGGTCCAACGTCAACCGCTCCTGGAACCGCTTCAACACTCTGGAGACGGTTGAATGGTGAATGTTCAACATTTTTCCCAACTGCCGGAAATTCCAGGTGTTTGGAAAGAATTTGTTCTCTCAACTCGCGTTGGTTCACCTCCATTTTTGTTGAATCGAAAAACACGACTTCGAGTTTGACAGCATGTACACAATACACATCAATGAGAAAGTGTGCAAAATTTGGTTGATTTTTACCCAATGGTAAAAAAGTTATGCCCTGTTGAATGTGTCGCAATAATTTCGTGTTCGCCCTTTACCATCCGCACCATCCAACGATGCAGGGATGTACGCTTAAATGAAATTTTCGAAGAGTTGATTCTTTCGCCGAATAAAATCGCTGCTATGGATCGGAAACCAGCTAATCTCCGCTAACTAACAGTTACAGTGGTTTGCTGTCCGTTGTCATCTTTTCGCAAGATCTGGAGAAGGCTGGTATGTTTTTTAAACTTTCGACAATGTTTTATGAATTCGAGGGCCCCGCTCAGTTTGCTCTTCTCCGCCAGATGGTCAGTCGTTGATGGTGTGCTGGTTCTTCTAGAGAAGTAAATTTTGCTGAAATCGACTTGAAATTTCGCATCCTACTTCGTCTATCCTTCGAGATTTCTCTTGTCATAAATTTGGCATTTATTAACTATGGGAACCATCTTTTGTAAACAAAGTAATTGGGGAGTTAATGATGCTTTTTAAAAGGCTAAAAAGCAACAATAAATGCTTTTTTCTCTAATGCAAAACCTTATTTTTTATGGTTGCTTTTATAATGATAGAACACGTTTATAAAGTAGTTTATGACATTAATAAACAATTGTTAATGACGTT